AAAAAAAACATGTATAGATAAGATGTTTTGAAACGGCAGAAATATGAGATATAACGAGGATATCCCTTGGAGAACGACTTCCTCTGGTAAACATTCAGTGACTTTTAACTTCCCCCTCTTTTGTTATAAAAATAGAACATTCATTCCTGGAGAAGTTGAGTGATATATTACACGACAACATGCCTGGTCTAACTCTGCCGTTCCTTTTAAGCGCAATGGTAATATATTACGGTCTGAAATCTCTGTAAAATGCAGATCTATAATATTTCCGTTCCAGTCTTGTCTGGAACTCGCTACTTACACTTATCTGCGACCATCAGGCTATCTTGATATATTTGGCCCCCAATGAATGAAAAGCTGCTTTGTGGTACCAATGTTAATTATATCTCCGAGAGGAGGTCTTAGTGCTGAAACCTTATGATAAGGCTATTTTAAAAACAAGATACTGCGTTATACGCAGTCGGTAATCAGGCAGGAAACTTTGGGGAGAGGCGGTGGAATTTCAAACTACACCCATACCCTTAAACAACCTCTGGGCTGATCAAGGTCAGGGCATGGCTAACTCACRGATCGARCYCTGAAASAACCTCTGGGCTGGTCAAGGTCAGGGCATGGCTAACTTACAGATTGAATTGGAATTTAGCATGTTAGGTTTGGAGGAAGGAGGAAAACTGGAGAATCCGGAGAAAAATCCTCGAATCATGGGAGAGACCTAACCTACTTTTTGGCATGCCGGTCGGTCCAGGGATCGAGAACAAAAGCCAGGTAGTAAGACACACTGGAGGCGACTGTGCTTGATTTCCATAAAAGACAGAATAATACGTTATAAGCAGCCGGCATGCGGACACGTTGGGGGGTTGTGGTGGCTGTGCAGCATGGGAGTTTTATTTGCAATCAAATTCTAAGACCGAATGATGACGAGACCAATGAAAGACAATCTTTTGAAATTCATTGTCGTAAACTCAAACCAACGTGTGCTATATTAATTATCATTATATCTGTCGAGTCATACAATTGTGTTTAAGCCAGTAACAAACACAATCTTTTAAGACAAAAAAAAAAAGTATTAGAAAGAGACGACAACTGATTGGTCATTGGCGCTAAATCGTCATATCACTATGACAACATCCAAATTACAACGGCACCATGCGAAGAACGTAACCAATCATTCCAAATTAATATGACAAAATAAGTGTAATCTATTTTAGACTTGCGTAGTAAGGCGAGCTGAATCTTAATCGTTTAATCAAGTTCCTCTCGCTTCTAGAACTTCACTCGTGAAAGCGATCGTTAGAAGCCGTTCAAGAACAGCAGCTATAGCTGGTGGGAGACAGTGTCTGGTGGAATTTTGTCGCTAAGGGAATATAAAGTTTGTCCTTGGGGATTCTCGCTAGCACTGGAATAAACGAAAATTAAAAACACCAAGTCATCAAGACATCAAGCAGTCAAGAAAACACGCATCGTAGGTGGCTTGAGTTCGACGTCAGTTGTTCTAGGTCTAAAGGTAAGCCATGCAAAATAGAACGAAGCCGTTTACATCAGGCACGATTTGCCCTTCGCGTTTTTTATAGTTTTAAATTGGAACAAAAAGTTGTCAGTAATCTCTTTCCGGCATTCTGTTCTATTTCATTTCATTTTATTCCATTTCATTCCATTCTATTTTTCCCACAAAATATTTATTTGACAAACCACAAAATAAAATGAAGATAAATGGCGAATGAAAAAGTGTTTGACAGATTCAGTCGTTAGATAAGTGAAACAATCAAGTAATCGTTCTACCCAGCATATTAAGCACGCAAGTGTCATTACACAAACTTCATTAAGATATTTTTGCTGACCAATGAATATTGCAGTGTTGCAGGTCTACATTATCAAGATGATTAGGTTTTTTCAGTTAAGATAGATTATCGCCAGCCAATAAAAATACACGATTGATATTGGTTCTCACTACTGACGTCAACACACGCAACTCCATATTGTCTCGATATAAAAAGAATCGCTGCAAGCAGAAGAGAACGGAATATTTTGTTTTTCATGCGTGACTTTCTTTCGTTGAGTCTTGCGTCGGCTTGCATCACTAATGAAAACCAGAAATAAAAAATATATACTGATGGGATTGCCTCGTTTGATCTTTTGACAGTTTGTTGTGAAAGAAGTCGGCAGGGCGGTCTCAAGCGGAACCTTAAACGATGACTTCGTCAAACGCATCAAACGTTCCAGAACGATCCAACTCAAGCGTCTTTGTTACGCCCACACTAAACACTATCCAATCAAATAGCTGGAACGGCACGAATATTCTAGCCAATAGTAGCCTAGATAATGAATCGACACTAGAGTTGGTTGCATGGTGCCTTATTTATTCAGTCCTATTGTTCATTATCATCATCGGAAATGCCCTGGCTATCATCGTTTTTCGTAGTAACGTATATTTTGGTAGAAAAAAGGAGCACTGTTTTTTACTCAGTCTGGCCATCGCTGATATATTGGTTGGTATTGCTGGAATACCACTACAAGTCTTTCTCCTAATCCTGGAAAAATCCGGGAAAATCCCTCGATATTTCTTTGTATTGAACATAACCTTTCTTACCAGCGATGTGTTTTTTGGTCAAGCATCGATCTTTACTCTTACTGCCATAGCTCTTGAGAGGCTCTACTCCGTTATCAAGCCTCAGAAACACCGTAAAGTCAAGAAAAGGACATATTGGTATCTAGTACGACTACCCTGGATGGCATCAGCATTTCAGAGCTTCCTTTATCTCCTATCTTTAAACAATATTTTACCATTTGGTGTAGTGTTCCAGTTCATTGTGATCTCACTTCTATTCTCAATGCTGTCCTTATGTGTAGCCTATATGAGGATCTGGATGTCAATGAAAAGAAGAAAGAAGAATCAAAACAGCCTAACCTCTCGTCTAGCAATCCGAATGAAGTCCGAATTCAACGCCAACAAGGAGAGAAAGTTAACAGTCGTAGTTGTCATAGTAACCGGTGCATTCGTAGTAACTTTTCTTCCCTTTCAAATCATGAACTTTGTATTTTATATTTGTCATCTCAATGGATACATACCCGATGTCTCGACCTCGTTAGTTAGATTCGTAAAACTGTTGCAATATTCAAATTCCTTGATCAACCCCATCATCTACTCCTATAACATCAAAGGGTTTAGGGTTTGCTTGAAAAGAAAACTAGTGACCTCACTTCATCTCAGCTGCCTTGGTATTTACTCCAGTAGAATGAATCAAAAGCTCGATCCAAAAGGAGTTTTTGGGAGTCCAGAAGTGACAATAAAACCACTAAGAAACAGAAAAAACACCTTAAGTTAGATAAATTAAGGACGACTTTTTTTCTGGATTCCAATTCCTATCAGCCCAGAGGTTGTTTCGAGGTTCAATCTGTGAGTTACCGCACCTTGACTTAAATCAGTCCAGAGGTTGTTTCAGCTTTCAATCTGCGAATTAGCCGCGCCCTAGCTGATTTAGATCAGGCCAGAGGTTGTTTCAGAGTTCAATCTGTGAGTTACCGCACCTTGACTTAAATCAGTCCAGAGGTTGTTTCAGGGTATGGATAGAATTGAAAAGTGAAAAAATTGAAGTACACTCTTAAAGGCTTTTCAAGGGTGCAATTTTTATTCAAGTTCTCATTTCCAACCTCTTTGGAATTACCGCATTTTTCTATTGAAATAATTATTTAGTGTCCCCTGTGTCTGGCTAATACCGAAATAATTCTCAATGAACAAGTGTGTGGGTAAGGTGAGAATATGAGAAACAGAATTCCAAATAATAGTGAATAATTCTCGGCCTTCTTGCTCAATCTATCGCGTATGCAAACTATGAAAACTCCCAAAGCATCGATTTATGAATGGAGAGAAACTGATCCGGCAGGATAAAAAGGATTCCGAAGGTAAAGAAAGAAGTGGTACAAAAGCGCATATCGGTAGTGATAGTGTGCGTGTTTTAAATAACGATGGAAAAAATRTATTTTGGTGAGAGACCCTCTTTCTTCCATTTCACTTAGGAACACTTATCCTATTTTATTCTTTCCTGGTTTATCCGTGAAAAGCATTCAAATGAATTAAACCGGCTTATTTTAGTCTATTGGTGCATCGTTTAAGTGGTTGATGGTATTTGAATAAGCGACCATCTGGGCTTGTAACTAGCTCCTTATTCAATTTACACTGAATGGCTGTCAACTTCTTATGATTTGCACTAAATGGCTTTGAGGTGTCAATCATCTACATATTAAAAACTAAACTAGCTAATAGGCTACAATAGAAAATAAACCAAATATTTACTTAAGATTACCCATAGTGTACGACAACGCGTTCCGTGTAACAAAGGAGTCCAACTCATCCTTCTTGTGAAAGGTGTAAATCAATCGAAAGCGGTCGAAATACTGCTACAAACGATTTAAAAGTAAGTTTGATGTTTACTACCCACTAATTGAAGACGATTGCTTTGACTCACAAAGGTTAGATATTACAATTAGGCTTAAATAAGTGTATCTGACAGGATTTATTAGTGAAACGAATAGAAAAATTCAATCTATATAAACTTGTATGATAGAACTTGTATTTTTAGACCTCCAGCATATGCAAGAAGCATGTCTGTATTCGAATTCAAGTTCTAGCTTCGGGCAATCATGATTTTATTTTGAGTAAACTATGTTGAACCAGCTACTACGAAGAGAATACATGATCTTTCATTTATTCTTCATAGCTAAATTTATACGTTTTAAACCAATATATGCTTATTGAATTATCAGCTATGTGCGGTCTATTTTCATAATACCCGATTTAAACTTTCTTCAACTTTTACATGTGCTACCGCGTCAACTGTTCTCAAGAAAATTAACAAAAATAATCATCTAGTTTCTATCGCGAGGCTTAACAATAATAATAACACCAAATATATTTAAATATTATTTCTTAAAGTGTTTCGACGTGATGCGAGACCAGCGGATGTGATGGATTCGGCGTTTGATGCCGTTATTGGTTTTAATAACGCCTTTCTCCCTAACGCCTTAAAGGAAGCGTGGGTTATATATGAAGAACGCACGTGCTAGGATACTATATTTATTACTTGTATTGTATATGGTAATTTTGGTATATATTGAGGTATAATATAAGATGTAAGAGTAAATAAATAGGATTTAGCCCTGGCTTTACACAGAGTAGCTTTTTATCCGCTGAAATCCCAGTTGGACTTAGAAGTTCATTTTCGCGGAGAAAAACCACCGAAGCACAGGAGAGATTCAACAACTCATGGTTTATTTCTCTTATGCAAGCAAAAAATTTGGACTGTCTTGTATCGAGGATTACTCATTTTTAACCTCACCTTCATGCTGTCCCACCATCCCACATTCTCAACAACTAGACAGAGAGAAAAGTATTTTATTCCAATTTTACTGATTGGGTACCCTGTGGTGCAAACATCAGTCCATRGAAAATCAGATAAGTGACAGCTGAAACAATCCAATATAAAAACAATTAGTCTCGTTAATAGAAACGTTCAAATTTGAAACATTAATAACTGGGGTGTAGACAGGATTTGCTATTTGAAGAGAAGCTAGGTAACTACGCATCTCAATCAATATAGAGCAGTACGCCTTATGACTGTGAAAAAGTCGGTGTCGTATGGGGAGTGCCTCGACCGGATTGATTTCTCGCGCAATGTGATTGGTCTTGCAGTGTCGTAACTTTGGCGTGATCGTGTTCCGGGTATTGAATATGAAAAAAGAGTACATTCTCGTGCAATGTAATTGGCTTGGCGAATATATGCCTTGCGGTTTCACGACCGCGTTCGTGTCGTGAGCTTTTCACAGTCATACGAAAACTCCTCTAACTATTCTTATTGGTAACATTTTCATGAGAAGCGCTTGCTTTGAATATTTAAAACCATTACCCTGGGGGGAGGGGGGGGCTGATATTTTCAGTTCTGTCATTACCTTATTTAAACACGTTTATTGCTATTTCACTATAGTTAAGACGTTAAAATGTTATTATAACACATGCCCTCTAGCTGGCTCTTCTCGACGCAGTTATAGCGTATAAGACACCCTCAAGGCTTTACAGAACCATTAAAAAATATGCATTATTTTGCTCTTATCAATGTTCGTTGAGGGGGATAACGTCCATTGATTAATATTGGCATGAGAAATTTTCCAGAGATGGACTTGCTATAATTCAAAAAATTTGGACCTGCTATAATTCAAGGATAAATATATATATGTATTTTAAAGCCAATGAAAGATGACAAAGATTTTGGCATTGTGTTGATTTAGAATGAACTCATCTCAAAATTGTCTTGAATGCGAGGCTAACGCATGGAAATATAAAAGAAATACCACAAATTCCATCGAGAAAAGTGTGATTTCTTTTCGGTATTTTTTAATGTCAGCCTCACATTCGAGATAATTTCGGAGAAGGGTCATTAACCCCAGCAGTTTTTTTTCTTCTTCTAGCTCTTGGTAATCTAATTCTTAGCTCGGCGTTGCGTAATATATTCTCAAAAGCGACGCAAACAGCTATTTATAAGTGCAATAGGCCGGGCATGGAAATACCCGCTAAGTGTTATAGCAAATATTTTAAAACTAAAATCCATAATATAAAAAATCGCTGTAAAGCGTTAGTACAAAACGACTTAAAGCTTGACAGGAGATAGCCTGAGGGTTATTTTGCAGAATGCTATTGAAAAGTGTTTTTTTTCGTTCGCACTCGAGGTATGCCGCAGCGTTTCGACATCTGTTGGAATTGTATTTGAAATTTATTCACATCAACAAGGGAAAAATGCTCACAAATAACCCCAAGCATCTTGAAATATTATATTAACCTATTTTATTTTATTCTAATAGTATATACGACAAATATTTAGAAAATTCTATTYTATTCTAATAGTATATACGACAAATATTTAGAAAAGCCATTTGAATGCTGAATTTTTTCATGACATATGGAAGCCATTTTAATGTTTCTTTATAGATGTAAAAATTTACACTTGTCAAAGGGAATAGCTCACACATAAACCCAAAACAAATTATCTTACTGAATTTCAACTTTTCTGTTCTGCTTTATCTTTGATTTCATTATGATAGTATATAACGCAAAAATAGGGAAGCCATTTCAAAGCTGATTTTCGTAATAACAAAATCATGCTAAGCCATTTTAGTGTTTCTTTATATAGTCCTAAGCACAGAATTTTTTAAAAATAAAGTCCTTCAAAACCCATTGAGATTTCTCAAAGTATACATATTTATGCATGCAAATTTTCTCTAGTGGCGCGTTCGCTTTTGAAGTAGTTCTTCATATTATTTTGTTTATTTGTTGAAAAAATAACATTGATTGTTCGAACTGATAATAAAAGATTAAACAAAGTCTGAAAGTCTAGAAACCCCACAGAACACAATCCACTCTCTGTGATGGGATTCCTTACGCAAATCATAACATGGATTTCAAAATGTCTGCTCTTCGCTTTTTAAAAACTTAGAATTGTACTTTGCTGTATATATCATCCAACATGACTGACTTGACGACCCAAAAAAATTAAAAAAAAAAAAAAAAAAAAAGTTTAAATGACTAATAATTGAACCTAATTCAAGGTTATTATCTCTAAGGTTGTCTTGATATTAACAGGAGATAGTCCAAGGTAGGCATCATATCCCCAGGGGGTGGGACAGGTGCAAGAACGTTCTTGTGCACTGTGTATTCGACGCATGCGCAACTTTTGGAATGACAGGAAGGCTTAGGAAATTTGTTTATAACTAGATCTGATTTCAATGAGAAGACTGCCTAATCTATAGAAAATTATCACTGATTTTGAATAGAATTAAAATAAAACGGCAATGGTTGGGATCGGATTTATGAAATGCCTGAAAGAAAAATGCTTTTAATTTCTATGAGTCACAAAGGCTATAGTTCACAAAGAGGTGTCACTTGTGACCATGGGATTAGATGCGTTTCTTTGGTAAATATTTCAATATCACCAGAAAATCTCCTAATCTAGAATCAATATTGTTTAAGAGTTAAATATCTTTAAAACCATCCAAGGAATCTGGATTTGAAAGCCTTATGGGTGTAATCCCTGCTATAAGACATATATTGAGGTCCAAATTGATTCGTTTAAGCTATCCTTGATCACATGGAATATCTATATCAGTTCTCACACCAGGAGGTTGGAAGTCACTCGGTAAACGAACCCGTTACGCACATGCCGGCTGAAATACTAATTGTTTTTTGCAGAATACGCTCGATTCTTTGAACTCTAATCACTCAAAGCCAATGTGAGGTACATAATTGATTCTATCACATCTTCTTCTATTCACACTTCTTCTCAGTCCTAGACTTCAGCTCTCATTTTATGAAAAGCCTTGCTAGGTAAAACGTGTGAGGGATAAAAGACCTAGCAACGGTAAGTGATTCTGAAGTTAGTAGGCCTTATAAGCAAATATATATACAATTGAAGTTATATTGTCAGTTTGGTTGGTAACTGATATAAGATTTATCTAATATGCGACACAATTTCCTTTAGAGTAAAAAATTATAAATTTACAATCTAAATCTTTTAGGTTCGTATGCTTTGATTTAGAAAAAAGGAAAACGCAGATTATTGGTAGTTTAACGCGATTAAGTTAGAAACTAAGTACGAAATATTAAGATAAAATGGAATTGAACAGAAACAAATAGTGAAAACTAATCGAGCTACCCCATTGAAAGTTTGCAGTCGTGACGGCAATAAACTAGAACTTTCTTGAGTTTTATTTGATCATATTTTTAGGAGATTCTGACCAGTGATCCAAGAAATTTTTCTTTTAAGTCTGGATGAAATGGAAGCAACATAAGAACTAAATTGAAAAGATTTCTAATTTTTTTTTTTTTTCTCCCTATTTTTTTCTTTTCTACATGCTAAAACTTTCTTGAGTTTTATTTGATTATATTTTTAGGAGATGAGATTCTGACCAGTAATCCATGAAAGTCTGGATGAAATGGAAGCAACATAAGAACTAAATTGAAGGGATTTCCATTTTTTGAGGACTCTCTTCATAACAACCTCAATCAGTTCAACAGCATTGAACGCAGCTGTTTTTCGATGATTTGTGATATAAACTTCAAACTAAAAAAGTTCGACACATAGAACGTGATTTCAAAATTCAACACTGGTGATTTGTTTTACAGAGCAGGTCAGTTAAAATTGCWGAGAAGCTGTTTTCATTGAAAGATATCATAATATTACATGAAATTATACTTATTATCAACGTTATTCCGACGCAAAGGAGTTTGTGAGGATTATTCAAAACCAAAAATTCTCGATTTGGTCGCCGAAATTGAATTCAGCGTCTTTTGTCAGTTTACATCACATTAGGATCGTGGGATCACAGTTTGATGGTAACTGTGCCAAATATCATCATTTATTCATTCACTTAAAGTGTCCGATAGCATTTTACACTGTAAACACAAAGCCCTATTTCGCCTTACTTTACTTTCAACGCTCGTGTTTCATCAGCTTTAAAATATTTACTCTGTTGAATCAGACTAAAGTGGCTTCTTTCGTTTCCTCCTCAAATATTTCGAGTCAACAAAGTCACACTACATGTTTACCTAACAATTTATAAGTTAATGGTATAATTCATTAAGCTAAATTCTAATATTGAATTTCAAATAATAAATATTTTCAACGCCGAAATCACTCGGTCGATTTGATTTCACAACATTGGCAGATCAAGAAATCATTTTTTACTTTCGTGAGTAATTGGTTGCATACATATGGTCTCGCCCTGGTCAAGAGAATGTTGAATCTTATAGTGATTAAAAGTCTTTTATCTTTGTAGTTATTTCTTTGTTTTTCAATCGTAATCAAGGATTTTGAAATAGTTTTCCTTTAGGAACGAACAAATTTTCAAAAAAATACACAACCTTATTTTCTTTCCAATTTATCTAATTTTCACTTTTCGAATATGTGCTCGAGTTGACGAGGAGAGATGAAATAAGGAATCGAACTTCTTGTAAGGGTAATGATCCGTTGTTATGGCCTACGATGCCAAAGGATAATGGTTATGGAATTTGCTCGTTTGATTTCAGTAATAATTATCTGGCGTTATTAGCGTAATTTATTCGCWGTAGGAAAGTCTATTCGGTGTAAATTTAACACAAACTGCAGTTGTAAGCAATCTCGGTCTAGAAATCAAACCCGCGTTTCTTTATTCTTTTTAGCTTCTTTAAGAAACGAAGCGCTCTGCGCGAAAGCAAGATCTCATATCAGCGCTAGCCTCTTGTCTGGATCCGGTTTTAGGTAATCAGAAAAGGGACGGTTTAAGTTTCTTGGTGCTTGTAAGGCACCTGACGCATGAAGACAATAAAACAATAGCCAAGGATAATAAACTTAGAGCTAAAACTTGCCCTGCTAAACAAAAACAAAATATCCTGACGCACAGACCAACATAGACCCAGAAAGGTACCGTGTGATTCTGACCCAGAGGTCTATCTTCATGACGTGTTTTGCGGAAGCTAGACTAAAATGAACGCAGATAAGGCGGAGAAAGTTCGATCTTTTCATTCGGTCGGAGTGGCTGGAAATGTAGAGCAAAAGAGTAAGAATATGGGTGTAGAGACTATTTATACGGCCGGGGAGTAAGATAGAACCAATTTTGTCCTCATTGCTAAGGCTCTTGGACTCGTTTATAACTAGTCACGGTTTGATTCTGTTTGAATAATTCATGTTTTGAACTCCCCTTAGTTACCGTTGCTATGTCCCACAAGCTCAAAAATTTCTCTTGAATATCTCAGAATTTAAAAATAAATCTGATCAACGGAAAATGCTCATAAATTGTTGAGGTTTTTGCTGTCCTGCTAAAATACTTAAAACATTATCTAGAATATCTCAGAATTTAAGAACCTGATCGCCGGAAATTGTTTATAATTTGTTGATGTTTTTGCTGTCCTGCTAAAATACATAAAAAATAAATTGTCTTATAATCCTTGTCGCACCAGACAGACTTGAAGTCAGTGTTTGTGGGACAAGATTTTAATTCCACTTAGAATGAAACTGCTGCAACGGTGACTGGTTTTAAGGTGTTTTTGTACTTAGATTGGTTTGTTTTTGTTTGAGTCGGAATCATGATCACTCTCGTGGTGATTACTCTAAAACAGCTGTACCGTTCCCGGAGTATTAACGTAACCTTATATATTATTCCTTGCGCCACAGATATGCCAACGTCAGTGGTTATTGCTTGGAGTGTAGCCTTCTCGGCGACAGCCATTGCAATCATTGTGGGAAACTCCTTAACCATCGCTGCCTTCCTTAAAAGTGCGAAACTCGTACGTATGCGTGCTTGCTATTTCTTGGTCAGTTTAGCCATAGCGGATATGATGATTGGCATAATAACTGTTCCCATGTACATCATACTCTTGAATTACCACCTTCAAAACAGAGAATACCAGAGTATTTACACGGCTGTAGATATCGCATCGGGATTTGCATCAGTCTTTACTTTAACCGCAATTTCTCTGGAACGACTGTACGCATTCTGGTTTCCATTCAAATACAGAGTGGCACAGACAATGCGAGTCTACATGGGCCTTGTGTTGATCATATGGATCATGTCAGCGGTTATAACCTGTCTGCACATGCTCTTTAGATACGAAATCATCTCGTATACGCATTTCTTTTTCATCATGTTCTGTTCCCTGACCACGTGTTTGTTGGTCATGTGCACGTCGTACATTGGAATGTGGTTCAAGGTCCACTACCATTACCGTCAAAACAACAGAACTCCAGCCAACGAGAAAAAATTCGCACGCATGATTTTCACCATCACAGCACTGTTTATTTTCACCTGGTTGCCTTTTCATCTTCTCAACATTATCAACTTCTTCTGCGGGCTTTGTTTAAAGAATCATTTACCACATAATCTTTTGTTTTTCTGCAAGCTGTTGCAATACATGAACTCATTCGTCAATCCGATTATATATGCCTTCCAGATGCCTGAGTTCAGAAACACTTTGATGAAGTTACTGTGTAAGCCTTCACCAGCAAGAGAAGAGTCAAGAAGAATCGAGGAAATCCCTCTTGAAAAACTGGATGATTGTCAAGACGTTAAAATGTAGATCTGGAAACTGGCCACTTTAAATATTTCAAAACTTACGTAAAAAACACATCAATTATTTCTAAATTTTTATGGTAAATACCGTTATTTGAAATTCTTCTACACACATACTACGCAAGTACAATAGACTTCACAGAATATATGAGCTCTAAGTTATCCACAAACAGCGAATTATTTCATTGGATATTTTTAGCTTATTATATTCATAAATCACGCCGGCTCCTGCATATTTACTCAGTTAAAACTGAAGCATGTCTTTCAAAATCAGTTAACGCTTTGAGGCAAGGACTAAAATTTCAAAAACTTAAAGTAAAATTTTAAAATTTGGTTTAATAAAGATGAAATAATGAGTACAATATACTGTGCAGGTCTAATATACTGTATACTGATGATACACATACTGCGCAAGTCCAATATACTGTATACTGATGATACACACACTGCGCAAGTCCAATATACTGTATACTGATGATACACATACTGCGTAAGTCCAATATACTGTATACTGATGATACACATACTGCG